TTTGCATGCAACCAGCAAAATGGGTAGCTGGAGAAGTGCAACATAGGAAGATCAGAAGATCGAACCCAGGAGAAGAACTTCTAAAATTATTCTGATAAAATATTTCACTTATAAAGAGTACTTCACCTCATAGTTTTGTCAGGTAAAATATTTTCCAGCTACACACTTTTGTTGACTGTACTTGACTGCTAGTGATTTTGAATATCAATGGAAATATGAACCTTTATGCAAAAGTAAACTGTTGCTCACTACGTATATCGGCGAAAAGTACACGGAGAAGTTTAGATTGTTGTTTATATGAAAAAACAGAGTCAGGGCTACAAAAATGGTGAAAATCTCATGTTTCTGTCTTGTAATTTCAATAATATGCATACTCTATTATGTTTATTTTACAGATGGTAGTACATTGACATAAATTAATAATTCATTAAAAAAGACTAGAAAAGAATGTGTGCTACAAAATATAATTCTCAACCACAACAACGTAAAATAGCGTTAATTATTGGTATTAGTGATTATGAAAATAAACCATATTTAAAAAATAGTATTAATGATGCTAATAGTATGAATCAAGCATTACAAAGTATTGGATTTAAAACAATGTTAGGATGTAATTTAAAATATGGTGAAATGGAAAAAATAATTCAAAAATTTTTATCCATTATTGAATTTTCTGATGTTGTTTTATTTTATTTTTCTGGTCATGGATTTCATTATAAAAATGTAAATTATTTAATTCCATTGGATAGTTTAAATACTTTTGAATCAAATATTAAATATCATGCAATTAGTACAGAATTTATACTAAAGAGTATTGAACAGAAAACATGTTATGTATTTATATGTCTTTTAGATTGTCAGGGTTTAAAACAAATATGTGCACCACCCATGGACTGTTTAATTGCTATTGCCTATGCACCAGATGAAAACGATAGTTATCGTGATAGAGATAGTTTATTTACAAAACATTTATTACAAAATATAACACAATCAGATAAAGATATTGAAAAAATTTTACAAGATGTAGTAAAAGGTGTAGAAATTGAATCTGATGGACAACAAATTCTCTATCGTAATGGTACACTTCGACACAAAGATATTTATCTTAATATACATTGAATACTATTTAGAACTTTTATGTTGAGTTTCTTTAAGAGTGATTATACTCTCTTTGTACTCGTATTGAATTGAGTAACTTAAAACTATTTTTAAATAATTTTTTTATTATAAAGACGTAAAGAGTTTGAAAATAGAGCTAATAAGAAAAGAAAAGTTATATGAAATGTGATCTTACCGACTAAAAAAATGCATAAAAATAATTTTTTTTTCTTTCAAGGTCAACTTAGTGGTATATCGTGGATAAAACAAGCGATAATAGCGAGGAAGAAATTCCGCAAGATTAACACGATGAATAAAACCCTGCGAGATAGAACAGATGAACGCATGACAAACTCTTGCACAGTATATATGAATAAAAATCCGTCAGGATTCTACTGAAAAAGATTTCTGAAAAAGTAGCGTGTTAAATGACGTGCTAGACAACATACAGAAAAGTTTTCGACAGAATTGCTAGCTGCAAAAACCTGTGGGATATATTCGAGTACCACAAGATTTTTGCAAACTCCGGCGTACCAATGCAGAGGTTTGAAAGAATTTTTTCTAGTGGATAGTGAAATGTTGTTGTTTATTACCAAACAAAAAGCCGGTATCTGCTTTAACTGTACAACTATTTAAAAACTTAAGCACAGGAGCAGCAACCTCTGTAAGTTTTTACACGGACGTAGACACGTGGAGTAAAACATGAGATTTCCACCGTTCATTTTTTACACAGATGTGTACGTCTAAAAGACAAACGAATTGGGATAACGAAAGAAGAGATGGATTTCGGGTAACAAATCGTTAAAACGGGTAACATAGTAATTGAAGGAACGACGAGAAAGTTTCCAAAAATTGTAAAAAATTGCAAAAACGTGTACATACGTATCGGCTGAAAGTCGAGCGTATTTACGGTTTTTTCGCAAGCCGAAGTTTGTTAAACATAAATTTCGATAAAACTGAAAATAGTGGGTAGTGGAATGTTTCGAAAAATCTAATTTTTTTTAAAAACATTCATTTTTTGTTTATAACGTCTTATTAGAATAGGAAAACGATAATGACTGCTAGAAAAAGTGTTGATTTACAAAAGGTTTCAATGTCTACATGCTTAGTCAGAAATGCACACTTGGTTTAACCTATTTTATTCAGTAGCGAATATGCTTAACAACACTTCTCCTAATGCGCCGAAGCATTACATTGAAGAGTAGTTTAACATGATGTTTTCCTGAACGTTCTGTTCATTTATGAGACGTATTAATTTAAATATTGTTTATTAATTGGATTTTTTAGTAGATGGTGAGATTATCTTTTTACTTGTTAGAAATAGTCTGACTATAGTATAACAACAAAAACATAAACTTTTTCTAGCGACGACGTTGTTTTTTCTTTATACTATGAATCATATTTTCGACACGTAACACACAAGGATGTTTAATTGTTTGAGTCTTTCTATACATTTCCACAGATTTGGAATAAAATTCAAGAGCAAGATTATCTTGATTCATATCTGAATAGGCATTTCCAATATTTTCCAGAGTATATGCAATTTCATGACTTTCAGATGGAATTAATTGATTAAGTATTGTTACCGCCTTCGTACAATATGCAATCGCCTTATTATAATCTTTTTTCTTCGCATAAATGGTAGCAATATTACTATGCGATTGGGCTATATTTTCATGAACGGCGGATAAGACATTTTCTTGTATTTGCAATGCTTTTATACCATTTTCTAATGCCAAAACATAGTTTTCCAATTTACAATAACATTCACTCAGGCAATAATAAATTATTGCAGTTACCTCTTTATTACTATCAGTTACATGTTTCTGATAAATAGTTAACGCTTTCATCAAATATTCTAATGACAACTGATAATGCAACTTGTTATAATGAATAACGCCCATTACAATATAACATTTAGCAATGTCAATATTATCACCATCAGTTGATAAAAGAGCTTGTCTAATATTCAATGATTTTGTTGTATAATCAAGGGCTTTATCAAACTCTCCTATATAATCAAATAGAAATGAGCCGATATCCCAAAGACATTGTGCATAGTTTTCCCTTTGATCCGGTAGATTCATTTCATAAATGTTTAACACTTTCAACAAACACTGATACGCCTGTTCAAAATCACCTTTTTGAATATACCAAGAATGCAATGTGCGGTATCTTTCGGCAATTTCTAAATTATTTTGGGATAAAACTTTTTCATAAATGGTCAGTCCTTTTAAACCATATCCGATTGCATCATCATATTTTCTGTATTGATGTTTAATAACACCAATGTTGAAATAACAATTCGCCAAATCAATATTTATTAATGATGGTAGATTTTGCTCTCGAGTTTTCAATGATTTCTTAACAAAATCAAGTGCAAGATTAAATTCACCTTTGCCCATGTGGGCAAAACCAATATTATATTGGCAATCGGCTACATCTTTATAATGTTCTGGTAAATGTTTCTCATGTAAACCCAGAGATTTTTTGAAATATTCAATTGACCAATCATACTCACAGTTTTGACAGTGAGCAAGGCCAATACTTTCACAGAGTTCAGCTATTTTTTCGTGATTATCTGGTTCAATTTTTTCGTATATTTTCAAAATTTTATATAAATGATCCAATGTATTATTGTAGTTTTCTTTCGAATAATCTTCTTCTGCAAGTGCTTTTCGTACAGCTAGCTTTGTGTTTTCATGAAGAATTGTTTTAGCATTAATCACTTTTTCGCATGCATTATATAGTTTTTCATTACACAACGTTTTACCATCGTCATCATTCTTTTTATTATATATTTCCCACAGGCATTTCAACGATCGAAATATATCCTGAAACTGAGGTAAGAGGAACTGTTGTTCGCGAATTCGAACGGCATTCCAATGATATTCTATTGATTTATCATATTTTTCTTCTTTGAAATAAATACATCCAATATTTGTATAACCACGTGCCATGTCATCATCATGAGATACACATGCATGGCAATTTTCATAAAGTTTTAAAGATTTAAGATAGTGATCAAGTGCATGTTTATTATCATTTTTTTCTTCATAAATGACACCGAAATTGTTCAGTGACTCAGCCATAGCACAATTATTTTCAGGTATGATTTGTTTTCTCACTTTATATGCTTTTGTATAATGTTCTAATGCTTTTTCAAAATCTCGCTGTAGAAAATAAACGGTACCAATGCAATCTGTTATATATGCCGCCAATAATATATTAGGTGGTTTCGTCTTATTTATATGTTGATTATATGCATAACTGAAATATTTTAACGCAATTTCATATTTCGTTTGTCTAAGTGAAGCATCGCCAAGGTATGAATAAATTTGTCCTAATTCTTCTGGTCTGTATTGATTTAAACGAAGTAAGTTTTCAAAATATTTTTCACATTTATCATATTCACCTTTTTGATTCAATATTTTGCCTAATTCAATATCTAAATTAATATTCAGCATCTGTTTTTCCAATGATTTACGTATATCAGATGTTAATAATTCTTCTAATGCTGTTAATTTAACTGACCAATATTGTTCATTCTCAATGTAATCGACACTATTTATTGAAAATTGAGCACACAAATCAAACAATAGTTCTTCTTCCTCCGGATAATCACTGTATTCGGCAATGTCCGCTATTGGTGTTGTTAAAAGTTTTGTATCTGCCTCAATTTCAAACATAACTGCTTGAACGTCAACGCGTTTTGTGCTTTTCTGAGCAAAGGAATATGCAACATCACGTGATCGAGTAGTTGATAAAAATCCGTTTGTTGACACTTTTTGACCGATATTTATTTTGAGATTATAAATTTCTTGCAGTGACAATTTTAGACCACGGTAAGATGTCAGAACAGGAGGTTTTTTTTGACGTAGTTTCAGACCTTCAAATTTCGTAGCCAAATTCGAACAAAGATCAGATATAAAAAAACGAAATGTATATAAAGATTCAAAATCTTCTGTTCTTAGTGCTTTGTTAACCAAACGATAAACGAATGTCTGTTTTGTATACCATTTAATAGCATCATCGGAGGAATATGTTGATTCAAATTGTTTGATGGTTTCTAACTCTTGTTTATTACCACGGTAATAATTGCGGCATACGTCAATCATATCGGCTCTTGCTGCGGGAGTGGATTTCATTTTTAGCAAAATAAGTTTCATTAAAAAGAAAAATCCAAATTCATAACCTTCTTTATTCAAGTTTCGCATGGCTTTTTCATCTTGATGGACTAAAGTAAACGCAGTCGATTGTTTAACTACAAATTGCATGTTTTCTTTAATATTTTTTAAAAGTCGATTATAGTCTGTGTAGATGTCAATAATTTTAGAATATTTGCTATTGGTTAACAATGCTTCGTATGATTGACGTTTTATACAAAATATATAAATTGAATCAATTTGTTTTTTATCATGTATTTCATCTAATAGATCATCATTCGTTGCGCTTTCACCAGATAATATCAAAAATATTTTTTCGTTAAGTGTTTCCTCGATATACTTTAGACATGTTTTTCTGTCAGAACAAACTAGTACATAATTATTGATACGTTTCAAAATATCGCTCATTTTTGTTGTATCATCATCTGAACTAATATTTTCATCATAATAAATAAGTGTTACGTCTTCTTTATTATCATTATTAATGTAAACTTCTTCTGGGATTGCTCGTACTAGTTCGAGATGTGGTTTTGGCAAAAGCATTTGTAAAACATTGGAGCGCACCGTATTTTCTGATGGAAGTGACAGTCCCATTTTTCCTACAACAACATGGTGAAAAGAACATCACTTTGGGCCACTGTTAGGAGAGAGTTGGTTCGCGAACTTTCGAAGTTCTGAAATCATATAGATGAATATATGACAGTTATCTAACCGCATATGAACGTCTTCTGTCATGTGATCCGGTTCCCAAGATCTTAATCACATGTGAATTGCGCTAACTCGAAGACACCTATCAACAATAGGAAAGGCAGGACTAAACTTATTCATGATCTATCGCTACCGAGACCACTTTATTAAAACTTCGTCTTGCTTCCAGATTTGAATATAAAAAAACTTAACATTCTCATCCGAGTAACCATCTAAAGAGGTTTAATACGAGCAAAAGTTCTCCGTTTTGAAAAAAATGTCGAAGTAACTAGAATTGTAAAAAAACAGCTTTTTTTACCGCCGCCTTTAGCATCTGAAAATGATGGTGAAGGAGTGGGTCGATATTCTGTGGAACTGCTCATTTTTCCTAATTCAACAAGTATGCGAATTGTACGACGAGCTGACAATGGTTTATAGACTAAAAATAAAAAAATTATAAAAACATTCTCTTTGTATTAGAATCTGTTTTGATATATCTTACGATCATAATGCAGTTGTTGAGCCATATCAAACAACTCCTTTTCAGTCACGGAAATACTGAAATATTGTTTTAGTGTGTTTACGATCGAATCTAGATGTAAACGGCCAAATGGATCAGTAGCACAAAATATTTCTACAGACAAAAAAAGAATAATTCAATTTCTCTTGCCTAAAACAGTGAGTTAGTCAAGTCACTTAACCGTTAAGTTGCCTTAAAGTTAATGTTTCTTCAATTGTTTCTTTATCATTTTTCTAAAATAAATCATATACCTGTCTTAAAAAACTATATCACATGAATCGAACGTACGCACTGTTCTGTGGTGACGATTTTGTACTTTATTATCATTACTTGACCTATTTAGCTCTATCGCATGATGATGATGTGAATAATCTTCACCGTTAATTCGAGTTCCAATATTTTGGTGAGTCGAGAATTTAGGGATATCATCGTGATTCCGTCTATGGTGCTTCCTATGTTTGGAATAATTTCTTGATGGTAATGGTGGAACTAAATAGTTGTTAATCGCACTTGACATTCGTGCAGAGTCATATAAATCATAAAATGCTTTGTATTGTGGATCATTCATAACATACAAATTATCGGGAAGGTAATAGTATGATTGCACACCAGCATCATGATGATACGGATGTAGCCGATCATAATCAACATGTCGATCGCTTTGTGCAGATTGCAATGAACCTTCAACGTAATACACTAACGGCGCAAATGGTTGTTGCTGTGCTTGTAGAGCAATATCAGTAGATTGAATAGTAGAATTATTTTGAAAATACGGTGTCACATGCATATTATTATTTACGAGTGATATTATAGAGAATGTTATGATTATTAAAAGTTTTAATAAATAAATGTTTTAGCGTTCGTGTATAAAAGAAATCAAGGTTTGCTACGCTTCATTACCTTTCTGCTACAGCCAAATATTATGATTATTTAGGTAGTTACCTGAATGTTCTGTCCAGTGTATGCAATTGTTTTCGGTACTTTTCTAATAATCCGATTTGTAATCAATCTGCGTGAAGATAATCAGTACTTGTAGCAAACAGCATACTGTTCAATTATTATTCTATAAATACAGACGATATGAGGAAAATATTTAAAAGAGAACGCAATTCGATTGAAAAGAGACCGTCTTGAATTTTTCGGAGTACACAAACAAATTGGGATAGAAAAGAGAACGCATTCTGAATTGAGAATATTTAATTTTTAATATTTTCTCAATTACTAAACATATCACTAGACGATTTATGTAGTGTAGTGGTACACTGTATGCAAGGTCACAAACAGGAGCCGAATATTAGGGGGTGTAAAACAAAATTTTTTGGCCACTTATTTTTTTCTTCTTTGGTTTTCATTATGGTTATATTCTCGGCGATTAGTCACAGTATCAATGATGTGTTCATGTAAAACTAATTTAAAATCATATGTATGTAAACATGCTTTTGGCATGATGATTCATTTAGGCTATTATTTTATTCAAGATCCATCAAAATCAGAAAATTTCAGCAAAAGAATGTGGTAGACCTAAAAAGGCACGTTTAACATTAATGAAATAAACATTTTTGTGGAAACGGCTGTTATTTTTTCTTTGAATGTGTGTAATTTTTTACAGTATAGTGATATATTTAGTAATTGAGAAAATAGTCAAAAATTAAATCTTTTAAATTCAAAATGCGTTCCCTTTTCTATCCCAATTTATTTGCGTTTACATTCAAGACGGTCTCTTTTCAATCTAATTGCGTCCTCTTTTAAATTCTTGTCCGACGATATAATCAAAGATGATTTACTCTCGTTTCGTCCTTTATATTTTCTATTATTTTATTTATTTTATCGTTATCTATTTCTTTCTACCAATTCTATACCAATCAATATTAATATAATTAAAGCAGTATAGGTTTCATGTGCTATTTTATTTACAAGGTAAATGAAACAGGTATATTTACAGTATTAACACATTTGCCATATTTAATTGCAGTAACTGATGAATAACTAATGAACCATCTTGAGATAACATCATTGTACTATAACAACTTCTAAGTCGATAACGCCATTCAACTGTTGATTTATTTGAACGATTTTTAGTGTATTGACAATCGGTGAAATTAACAGTTTGTCTACCACGTTTTTTTTCTGTACAAAACATTATTATTATTACCATAGAAAAGTATGCTGAATAAGTATATAAAGTAATATTCAATGATGCTATAAGAGCATATGATAGCCCATATATAGGCTATGAAACAATGTAACAATCAGACGGTCATTCATGACTCTTTTAAACTTAAGTTGTTACTGATGTAGATTTATAAAAGGAACTCAATAATTATAATCAGTCGGCCGATATTGCTGGTATTTCACGATATGATATGATTTTTTTTCCGAAAAACATTGTGTAAATTCAGTTCATTTGTGGCACATTTCTTCTACTAAAAGTTCATTTACTTAAGCTTTGTAGGTTAGATAAACTTCTTAATTTATAAGCTTGAATTGATGGTTTCGTAAAAAAAGCGTGTGAAAAATCAGCTATACATAATCAAAGTGAAAAGATTAATGGATCCCTTTGATAACATAAAATAAAGTTCACAGTGAAGAAAAACAAGAAAAAAGTATTTCTGTTTAGGCAAAATATGATCAAGACAAGCCGGTACGAAGTTTGTGTACCGGTGACCGGTACCGAAAATCCCATTTTTGATACCGGTTGCACCCTGATGTAATTCTTAGTCATTAATGTAGTCGGAAAAGTAAGTGAACCAAGAATGGTCGAATGGATGTTTTGATTTAAGCTGAGTTCTTCGCTGGCTCTTTGTATAGATGTAGATTATACTTCAAAAATCGGTATAGCTGCATTTAATAAAGCTACGATGTGGTAGACATAATTCTGTGCTTCTAATGCATCTTCAATTAATAATTGTTCGATCGAACGTGTTGAAGAAACAGAAGTTTGAGAATCTTTAGATTACAAATAGTTGTTAATGTTTGATCATTTAAAGCTAAAATCACCATCTCTTGTCGCCTGTGAAATTCTCTGTCATATGAGCTATTGCTTGAATGTTTTTGTTTAGCGTTATTTTACAAATGGGACTTCAAGCTAGTAGAGTAGGCTAAATTAATGTTAATTAGTTTTAATTAGTCTAAAACAGAAAGGAAAGAACAAAACGTCTTACGCATCATCTCGTAGTAAATATTCTCCAAAAATTTATCCACCAATCTAGGCAAAAACTAAGCTTTTATGATGAATGGAGAATGAATAGGAAATTTTTTTTTTTTGATGATACTTTATTGCCACACTCGAAAGTGCTTGCAAACAAAAGGAACCAAGGAAAAAAGATATAGTTGAACCTATTACAACATTTTAGTTACATAAAATTAATAAAATATAAAAAGACACTTTCTTTTCTCACCATTTCTTTTCACCATTCATTTTCTTTTGTAAATGAGAATAGATTTTTACTGGAAACGAAATGGCATCGGTGAATAAGGCGAATACCGACTCTGAATTTTCTAAGAAATAAATCTTTCTGTGACTGAGGGAGGAAAGGAAAAA